GTAAAGTGATTTCAGTCTATTTTGTTGGAAGGTCCAGAGAGATCCTGTTACTGCACATGTGTACAATATAGATCTCAATCTGCTGATTCTCTTGCTTTAACCTTGGCTGGGGGGGTTGTACACTTTAAGGATCAGTTCTTATGTATGCATTGCCTGTAACAATGCTAATAAAGACACTTTTTTTTCTGTATATCTTAGTATTGCTGGTCACTCTTAAACACACTTGACCATTGGATATATGCTGAATTTTGGTTTGGCTTTACTTGGGAAGCTTTAAACAAATCCTTAGTATGGAATTATGTTAAACAAGTGTTTGAGTTGTTTCTCTGTGGCACAAAAGCAAGGCTTAACTCTGTATGCATCTCTGGAACAGTCGTTGGTTTGGACTTTGTGCTTGGAAACAGGTGAAGCTTCTGCATATCAGTAACCTGAGACCGGGAGGAGTTAACTCAGCCATTAAATTGCTGCTTGCGGAGAAATGTCACAGGTTTCTGAAAGTGCTGCTAAGGTACTCACTATAAGGACTCTGTAAGTGCCAGTTTGTTTTATTTTGAAGTTGGATTCTCACCACAGAGTAGGAAATGCATGTCTGCTGAGGTCTCTGTGCTGGAAATGAACCTTTGCATTTAAGCTTCCCTGATTCCCTCCTGCAGTATTGTTTCGGTGTTAACAGAACTACCTATGCAGGGCAGGAACCAAGGCACTCTGAACCACTGCACAGAACACTGCTCTTCTGACAAGGAGAACTGAATGCAGGGCCACAAGGCTGGCATGCTTTGGACCTGCCCTGGTACCTTGAAGGTATCTTTAAGGTGTGGATAGTGGTGAATAAACTAATATTTCCAAATACCTGCTGACAAACTGCACATATGGTACTGCGTATGTCCTTATAATTCAGTACCCAAGCAAAAAGCTGTCTGTCTGGTACCATAAAGCATAGGATAGATATTGTTAGCAGCTGTCTTTACTTGTCTAGAAGAGCATTCATCTCCTTCCTCTGAAAAGTTGAGTGTTTTTTCCCTGCTGAGAAATAAAAGAAACTCAATCTGCAGGGAGGGGGAAAAAAAAGCCTTCATTGACAAAGCATGAAGATAGCTTGGTGTAGAGTCTGAAAAGGAGGGTGGTGTCACAGTGGTTGTTCGGCAGGGAGAATAAAAACCATTAACTGCTGGTCTCGTTTCAGGTGTTTTTCTCTCCCCTCCCCAGAGGTAGGAAGGAAAGGATTTGGCCACGAGAGGGCTCTGTAAGGATAAGAAAGCAATTCACACACACTTGACTCCAGCAGGGCTGGAAGTGGCCTAGTGCTGGGGCAGGTCTGCTGCATTGCTTGTTTCTGCCCAGCGGTAGGATATTTAAACTTAAGGCCCAGTGTCTCACCCTGTCAAGGAAGAAGCCTGTTTATGGCTGTCTGTACAACTGCTTCTCCCAAAAATGTTTAGGGACACAGTATGAATGCGAGTAGTGCAACCTCTGTACACGAGTACATAGTAGTAGTAGTACAGCACCCCTTAGAACAAAATCTAGATTTGAATCAAATTACTTGTTACCTACTGTTCTAAAGAGAGAAAACCCTGACTAAGCATATAAACTACTAAGAATGATTATAGAGGAGTTGTTGCTGCAGCTTTCTGTAGCCTAGACTTGAGCATGTTCCCTGCTGCCTTTACCTGAAGAGCTGTTATACACTGCATAGAGTAACTGCTAGTGAAGATAAAGGTGGCATTCCTCATTGCTGTCTTGCCCTGTGCATTGCCGTATTTATTGAATTCCTTAAGTGGTAGCTGCAAGGAAAAAGGAAGATGCTTGTATTCCAGCCAGGAAAGAGATCAGATATTTTTGCTCTTCACACCAAGAAACAGGTTGTGACAAATTAAATTAATTTATTTTGTACAAATGAGAGTGGTGTCACAGTTGATACAGTAGGAAGGATATATGATTTTTACACCTGTTTTAACATTACAAAATGCCCTGTGACTTTTTTAAAAGGAGTATCCTGTCACTGATCACATTCTACTCTGAAAACACTTTGATCTTTAAAAACAACAACAAACAACAGAACCACCAGTTCCAGTTATCAAGTCTGACATACAGTACACAGTGTTAACAACACTTACTTGAAAGGCAGGAAAAATTGGTCCTGTCAGTTAACCCATGGAAAGTTTAAAGTGTGCTTTAGTCAGTGCAAATAGAGGAATGTGTCAATTGCTGTAATATCTGACCACCTGGTTAAATGGGGTGAGTTATCCCTGAGAAAGTAACTTCTCTCTGCAAGTCTCTCGGAGTTTGTTGATTGTTGCCATGGACAAGCTTCCAGGGTCTGTGAATATTTTCTGGTGGCAGAAGGAGAAAATTCTTAGTTAAAATGCTGGCTTTGGACAGTGTGCTGGAATTCTCACATTAAGTCTCTGAAGTGTGAAATCCCTTCTTTGATACCCACACTGAAAATGCTCATTGCTCTTTGGCCTCTTTATAACAGGGCATCTTCTACTCTGCTGTAAAGATACGGTAAACCTGCAGCTCATAACAAATGCTTTAAGTTACACAAAAGCAACAATACAAAAACTAGTTTGAATATAAGTGTCCTGTTAAAATTATTTTAGAAGGCATCTGTGTTGGTGGATGGCAGGCACATTTACAATGTATTAAACCATTCTAGGTAGTGCTACAAAGCACCAGCGCATTTCTCATGGGGTGCTAGCATAGGTTTTTCAAGCTCTGGAACACATACATATATAAACCAGTATGTTCCTACTAAAAATAAAGCCAAAAGTCTTAGTCCCCTTGCTATATTACCTCTGCTTTTCTTCTCTACCAAGCTTTCAGGGTAGTAGAGTGCATGTAAGAATTTGAGGCATTTCAAATGCCATCACACAGCTGCAATATCTGTTTTTTGCTTTGACTTCTTGCTCAACACCAATACATTTGTTCCTAGTGCTTCATCTGAAGTTTCTGACTGACTAAAACTGTGAAACAAGCTGCAAGTTTATGCACTTTAATCTACAATTCAGATGTGTGGGCCCCTCAGTTTTCCGTACTTGTACCTGACAGCTCTGGAGACAAGACTATAAATGAGGCAGTCTACCAGAATGTTCTTCAAAGAAGCCTGCACTGCATTAAACTAAAAAGTAAGGTTTTGTTCAGGGAGAGGGAAGCATAAAATACTCAACTGTCATTGTCTCAACTGGTACTAGTATCTGTACTGCCATCTTTTACAATTTGATCTTCTGAGTTAAGCTCTGAATCTAATGATCAATACGGATTTGGCATCCAATCTATTAATAATTTAGAAGAATAATTCTTAGCTTGCAGATTGTCATGAGACTTGAGCCCTCAACTAACTTCCTGATTTTGTCTGAAAATAAGAACTTGGTGCTACCTTTTTCTAAACAGAATGCTTTATATTCTGGCACTATTAAGATTTATCAAGGCAAGTTTAAAATTCACTTTTGTGTCTATTCTACAATTCTCTGTTATAATTCATCTGAAAAAAGCACAGGAACACAAACCATAGTTCACTGAAAAATGCACTGAAGTTATTTTCTCATCAGCCTTCCTGCCTTAACTAGTAAAAAGGGCAAAAAACATTTTCCCCTGAACAACCAATAACGTGAATGGATTGCTATATATGGATTTGAATAATCTTTTTAAGAAACTCAAACCTTTCTAAAAATTTTTTTAAGTCAAAACATTTTCCATCCTTTTGGCAATTCCCACAGATACATTTCTCCTAATCATATCTATCTTTTGGCTCTGACATTTCTAAGTCAGTTTTGTTTTTAATTTGTAACAACTAAAGATAACAAAGAATTTTACCTGCATGAAGCTGTGACACTCCGTTACAAATGTTCCTTTGGTGATCTGCTTAAATTTATCACAGATGTCAGGGAAATTCGTGGCTTCCAAAATAAAAGCTTGGTTTTGCTTTATTAACGTTAAGGCCACGCGGAAGATGATCTTTGATCCTTCATAGAACAAACAATCCCATATTCGGAGCACAGTCTGCAGCAAAGGAGAATTTCATATTGCAGCTCTTGATTTCCAGTAGGTAATTTTCAAATGAAGTAACAATTACGAGCATACATTAAGAGAACTTCTTAGTAAGACTTACTTACACAAGAATAAGAGAATTACCTCTACTGGAAGAATGTCAATGAACAAGCATATAAACCAGCGTGACACCACTAGGGTCCACATGACTCCATGTCTTTCCATCAGCTCTGCCACAGCTGGAACTTTCATTTTCACAAGTTCTCCAAGGACTTCCTGATCAGTTTTCAGGCCCAACATCACAGGACTGTAATAATCTTGGAGAGAAGAAACCAAAATTCAGCAATCTTTGGACATGGTCTTGCCACAAAACTGAAGAGAATGTCCTGTGCAGCTCAGTATATAAAGGTATGCTGAGCTGATGATCCCAAGTTGAAGTACATTAAACCACGCAACAAAGATGTCTGCATTGTAGTCAGACAGCACTTCTTCAGCCAAGGCTGATCTCTCTACACAAACACTTCATTCAAGCATACCAAAGAATCTGCTTTCTCTCTGACGTTTTTTGGCAATTCATTCCTCCTTCCCCAAGAAGGATAATCCAGGTAGGTTTTAACTGCTAGCTTAGATTACAAAAGTCTTATTAATATTTAAAGAGTTCAGTGTAACCACCACCACCTTCACATGTGGGGGGCGTTACACACCTCCCAGTCCACACAATACCCAAACACGTAACAAAAACCCCAAAACCCCAAAACAACCCGTAGCCTTAGACTGGGTCCAGTCACAAACTGGAAATGTGAATTTCTGAGAGTGCCAGCTGTGCAGGGTGCTGAAGGCCAGATACCACTTCTCCTGGGGTATGACCTAGCCATTAAGAGTTTTTTCATTTTTTCCTCTGAGCCAAGGAAATCACACTTCTCACAAAATAATTCCAAGAGGAAGTGAACGATAGGTCCCTCAGGCAACATCTCTTCCTACTTAATTTATCTGCAAGACACGTTGAAATTAGACCTACATCTCCTACACTGCTGGTCATTGCACTAAACTGCTAAATCACTAGTTCAGAACAATGGAGCACACTACAACTGTTACCCCACAGCCTGCTTGACAGGTGAGAGTTTTCATTACTGAGGTGCAGGCTGAATAACAAGCACCTCAGTTCTATAAACACATAGGTCTGTCTATTCGTAAGGGAAGAAAAAGTTTCTTTTAGTTTGTAAGAGTTCAGATGGCCCAGCAAGGGACAAGAATTACACATATGTTTAGGAAATCTGTATAGGGAATTTAGGTGTTGACAGAAACACTTAAGATGGGCTTGATGGCTCCAACCCTGGGAAGCAATCCTTGATGCTTTGCTGAGAAGACTCTTATAATTAACATTATTTACTGGAAGAAATAACTGGTAACACAAGCACTTTTCAGCATGCTTCTTTCCTTCACTGATTCTGGAAAGCTGCAGTTCAGGTTTCTCTAACTTAGCTGCTTTCTGCTGAGGTTTCCAGACCCACACAGCATAGGCCAATGGTTCACATAAAGGTGAAGGAATCATAAAGAGCAAAGTCCATGTGTCTGAAGTAACTGTAATAAAACCTCCCAGTGCTACAAATAAGTTTAAGAGGAAGCCCAAATTATGCAGTACATTTATAACCTCATTCATTTCTCTAATGAAATCACAAGAGCAGTTTAATATTCCGCTCTTTCCTGTGACAATAATTTTCTTGAACAGACTGCCTGCCCCAGGAGCTATTTGTTCTACATTTGTCCTATCCAAACTGCAGAACATTCACAGTTTTTATAGTAACAAGGAGCATTTCATTCAGCCTTTAGGAATCCAGCTTTTTGCCTGTGATCCTTATTTTCTTTGTTCCCATTGAAGAATGACAGGTAAAACTCCTCCGTGGACATAACTGCCACTGCACGCATACATTTCTTCAATCATTTGCCTTTCAATTGCTTAGAGGGAAAGCTCTGAAAGCTGAAGCACAAGTAATCCCATGCAAAAGTGTACTAAAACCAAAACAGAGTCACACCATGACCTCAAAGTCAACACGCACTCCTCTCTCTTCGTGTATTTTGTGTTAATGTTGTGCTCATTAGTGAACTGGAATGCTGGTAAAGGTACATTAACTCTTCGAGTAACCCTTTTTTAAACTCCTAGTTTAGTGTAAGTGAAAAACTAATCACATTTCAAATAACAGACCAAGCCTTCTTCCCTTTCCTACCCTTCCTCATCCTCTTGTACACCCACAAACCATTTTCTTCTATGTGCTCCTGAGACATACGAGTACTTAAAGTTAGCACCGGCAAGTGTCCTCGGGAGGAAGGACAGCAGCCCACATGCTCTCTGCTCTGCTGCAATCATCTGATACACTGAAATCAACAGCAGCTGCTATTTTTAATTTGTACAGCAAAGTAAATGTCAGGATTTCAGTGAGGATGTAACCGGACGCCTCAGCCAGCTTTCTGAGAGCTGGGAAGTAAAAAGTTAACAACCAGGCAACTCCAATACGTCACTCTTCCGAATTACTGAAGCAGCCAGGAAGCCTTGGCGTAAATGAGGATTTCACTCCAGTTTGTTAGATTGTACTGCTGGACAGAAAAGAAAAAGGAACTATTCATCTATCTGGGGCTGCCTCCTGCTGTCCCTCATGGAACAGGAGGGGCTCCATGTGCCCTGCTGCACAGCACTGCAATGTTCAGCCCAGTATGCTGCAAAACAAGCGAGAGGAGTGATTAATGATTTTATGCAAATGTCGATGACTGAGGAGCAGGGTTTTTCTCAGGACATTTGCTGCCACTTCACAACAGAAAGAAGTTACATTAAAAGAATCTGCATCCACGACATTCTTACGTGTAATTATTATATATTAATTATAGTTACTGTGGGTATCAATTATAATTATTACATATGATTAATATGTAATTATAATGTAATTTTACTGTGTATATATACTTTTATACAGAAATGTACGTATATAAGATTAGCTTCTCAAATTAGGAAAGCTGCATTCCCAGTCCTTTAGAATGTATTTGTGTACAACTTGTCCACGGATGATTTACATGGAACATAACAGCACTGCAGTGGCCCAGGGGGTAGCACAGACATGACCTTAGGGCTCTAACATCAATCTTCTGAGGACAGATTCACCCGGCGGGGAGCCAGACCTGCAGGCAGAGCCGCTCCAGAGCACAGCCAGCAGCACCCACAGCTGCATGCTGCCCAAGGGGCACACACCAAGTCATAAGGGCTGCACAGGGATTGCCAGAACTACAAAGGCAAGTCACTGAACAGAGTGTTCAAGGCCAGGCTGGATGGGGCTTTGAGCACCCTGGTCTAGTGGAAGGTGTCCCTGCCCATGGCAGAGGGGTTGGAACTAGATGATCTTTAAGGTCCCTTCCAACCTAAACCATTTTAGGATTCTGTGACCCTGCTCAAGCCACCTTTCATGGTCCACGTCTGGTCTCACTAGTGGAATGACTGTGTAACTTGGTTCGGTGCCTAAGCACTTGGTAACATTTAACCTACATGGCTCTTCTGTTCCTATTTGCTAGGGATGCCAAGTCCCTAGGCCTTCTGGAAATGTCCCCTCAGCAAAAATCCTGCAGCTCTCCCTTCCTGCAAATGTTTCACCGTGTGCCCTGGTTTCCTAACTTTTATAATTGGCTGCTCTGCCCAGAATCTTCCCCTAAAGTCAAGATACCCTTTTTATAAACAAGTCTACAAGCCTAACCCTCCCCACTCCATAAAGCTGTTTTTCACCACATACTGTGCAGCAAATTGTTTTTACTTACCTACCACCAAAATACATTAGCTTTATGTTCCTTCCATATCTTATCTTACAAATTATTTGAAATGTATAGATTTGCATTATCCACATTTAATTAGCATAACACTTATTTTACCTTCTCAATAATCTGGCAAAATACTGAGCAGTTGATGACCCAGAACAGACCCGAGTCAGCAACTGTGCCTAATCTGCCACGTAAAAGAAAATAAATAATCAAATGTAGGCTAGTTATATAGTGTACCTATTGATCTAAGTTGGTTTATAGGAATGTCCTCTGACAATAGATCATCCCCCTGAAAAAACACATAGCCAGATCACTTCCTTTTATTCCTCAAGTTGTCAAATTAAAGTGATAATGTTAACATTTAGGTGACCAAGCACTACATTACTTTTCATTGCATTTTCTTCTGTAAGACCAAAAATGAAATAGTGTCATAAATAATTATATTGTTATTATTATTATTTAATTTCAGAAAATATCTAGGTGAAAATTAAATTTCCTGATATGAAAATTCCACATTTTCAAGCTCTTCCATAAACTGGCCATAGCCTTTCCTTACTTTCCTCTCAGCTTTCCTTTGTATGTTGCCTGCCCACACACACCCACTTCACCAAAAGTCTGTTGCTCCTGGTGCCTGCCTATGGATTTTGAATGCCTTGCTAAATTTAGGAGCACCCAAGAGCATAGCAGAGGGTAATGCAGGCAGCACCCCATGTGAAATTTACCCCACTGAGTGCCCCTTCCTCATCAAAGTCCTGACCCCAAACAGCAGTGCACCCCCATGGCTCTGCTGGGATCATCAGCTTCTTTTCTTGTAGTCAAGCAGCAAAAGGAGGAACAGCCAGCTTTGGCAACTGCCAGGTATTTTACTGCTACTGTACAACAAAGGTGGCCAGATGAAGGGTCTTTTTTTAACTTGTTCAAAGGGCTTTTTTTTACTAACACTGTGGCATGCTGTCACTGAGCTTGAAATCTGTTCTAGCTCAGCATCTGGCAAAGACACATTCCCTAAACTACATTTCACTGTCTCCCTGTTGCATAATTAGCACCTCTCTGAATCCTACCAGGATGTCCAGGACTAAGACATAACTGTCTGCTTGTGTTCCAGAGCAGTAATGAGATTTGCAGGAAATAAGGATAAAGCTTGTAGGGACTGTGTGACCTTGTTCTCTCTTACAAATAGATTAAGAGGTTCCAAAAATAAAAGTTTAAGAAGCAGTACTCTTATAGCCCTAAATTACCTTTACAAGTCAGAGCTGCAGAAGTTAAAAAAAAGAGTCCTTCAAGTCTGTTGTGCCTATGTCAGGTTAAATGTAAATACTCCTACTGGAACTAACATGAGATGAATTCTTAGTGTTACAGAAATACCTCAGACAAGATCTCAGCTCTGCTGCTTATCTTCCAGCATTTCTAACTATTATTTCAAGAGCCTCTATAATCCAAACCAAATGTGATTTATAAATTGTCAATAATTGGCAATTAAATAAGTCTGATAAATAAACTGGCAATCCAATTTATTTAAGCA